GACTACCGGCCGGACAAATGAAGAGGAGGCGGTGAGAGCGGCAAGGATGGAAGGGACACCTTCTAAGGATGGAGAGGCCGCAGAGACAGAGACTCCGAAACTTCAGAGAAAGAGAGGAAGCAACAAGGAGCTCCGACTACTGCTGGTAAGGACCGAGATGGAGGATACGAACCAGGGCGGACCAACCAGGGAATCAACAAAGCCGGACATGGCCACGGGGGCGAGGAGGAGCCTGAGGCCCAAGACGACAAGAGGTGCTGATGTAAAGTATCCTAAGGAAACAAGGATCAGGGTCGTTGGCGGAGAAATAGTAGACTCCCCAGTGGCTGAAAGCTCAGCGGGCACGCCTATGGGGGACATCGTACCGGCGAAAAAGAAGGGGACGATTGACCTCACGGCTGTAACGAGTGACACGGGGGATAGCGTCCCCATTAGCAGAGGTACAATGGAATCTATGTCGATGACGGAAACAGAGAACACCGAGTCGTCGTTTGAGGAGATACCACGCAAAGGCAAGAAGAGAGGACGCAAGCCTAAAGGAAGCAACGCGACAGGGTCTCGTGCGCTGTCGAAGATTTCTTCCAAGCGCATGGAATTTGAAGATGACGAATGGGACAGAGAGGATTTCTTCCAAATATCGAAGAAAACTGGGCACGGCATGAAGAAGAGGAAAGGCTTAGTTGAGTGCCAACTCGATGATAGACTCTCCTCAAAGCAGAAAGATGCGATCGAAGAGGTGACGGAACTTTTCCCTCAAATGTCCCCTAAATCTATAATGGTGGAAACATTGAGGGTATTAGACATGGCGGGAGAAGCGGAGAGAAGGACGCAGACCATGAAGGGGGATCTGCGTCGACAAATGAAAGTAGGGGTAAACGTGGCAAAGATCGCCATACAGCGACTCGCCTCGGACATCGTCAAAAGTGCGGGACCCGTGGATGAGGTGAGATCCATCAACCTCGCCCTAGAGAGAGAAGTCCTGAAGCTGAGAAGAGAAATGGACATTTTGAGAAGGGAGAAAACCGCTCTAAAGGACCAGGTGGAGACTCTCACTCGAACTGTTCAAGGTCTCAGGGAGAAGGAAGAGCGCGGAAGACCTGGACGCGAAAGAGTAAGTCCCTCGCAGCTAGAGGAGGAAGTAGCTGACGAATTCCCGGCATCGAGGACGCGGAAGAAGAAAAATCAAGAACCGGTCCAAACCGAGACGAACGAGACGAGTGAGGCCCCCCTACCCCCGGTGTATAGGCCGATGCTAGGAGGCGTCCAAAAAAGGATGGAAGAGAGACCGAAAGTGCGCACGAGCGTGGATGTCACTGGTAGAATCGTGACGAGTGCGAGTGAGAGAACTCATGAGGAGCAAAGGAGCAGGAGTAGGGCGGTAAGAGCGGGTGAAACGCATAGGAGAGACATCTCGCTATCCCCAGCACGAGATTATCTGGTTGAAGGGGAACCGTGGACGAAGGCCAAAAGTAAGAAGGCATTGAAAAGGGCTAGGAGGAAAGAGAGAGGGAAGACAGCCTCGGAAACAGACGGTCGGCGGGAAGCGGCGTCGGAAAGAGCTGCCCGCCCCTCGAGGGACAAAAACCTAAACAGGACGGCGAAGGCAGCGGCCGGGGAAGTCCCAGAAGGACGAACTGGAGCTGTAACCCGGACTGCAAGGAAAATACCGGTGCGACCGGCGGGGAGGGACCCGCGATTCCGAGCCCACAGGACTGCAGCGGTACTGCTGAGATGCGAGGAGGCAGGAGGGAATTCCGCGCCGACGTACGCAGACGTCATGAGGATGGCGAGGGATAAGATATCCTTGGAGGAGTTGGAGATATCCAACACTCGGATACGCAAGGCCCAGACTGGGGGATTGCTTATCGAAATCCCGAGCGGAGAAGAGGCTGGTGCGAAGGCGGAGGCGCTCGTCGACCGCTTAAAAACGGTTATCGCTGAGAGCGAGTTTGGAAAGAAGGTGAGCGTGATTCGCCCCGTGCAGCGAGCTGAGGTCAGGTTGATCGACGTGGACCAGTCAGCCACGGTGGAGGAGGTGATTGCGGCGGTGTCCGAGTGCGGTAAAGTGCCCGTCACAAGCATAAGAGCAGGCCCATCTAGGCAGGGCAGGGGTGGATTGAACACCATATGGGTACAGTGCCCGCTATCGGGAGCGAACTTGCTGCTCAGCAGCGGCAAGCTGAGAGTCGGATGGACGATGGCGAAGGTTGTCCCACTAGCAAAGAGGAGGCTGCAGTGCTTCCGGTGTCTGGCGGTGGGACATACCAGAACCAACTGCTTAAGGGGATGCTGAAGTGTCCTGTTTTACCACTTAATTTTTGAAGACTCTTTTCTCTTAATTGTGTTTATGGATTGAAAAGTCCTTTTCCACAATTAAAGTATCGATAA